ACATCGATCACTGATATCTCGGCAACCAGTGATCGCACAGAGAATGTAAGGATATTTCCTAAAACGGGAATAAACCTCGTATAAACTTTAATTGCAATCTTTGAGAAAACATTTTTTTTTGTTTCCTTAGTATTGATTTTTAAAGAATAAAAAAAATACTTTTTGCCTTGTTTTGGAAAATAGGCTGCATTTTTGGGGCTGCTAATAAGAAGGGCAATGCTTTTAGGTTTCAATGTACCTCAAATAACTATTAATAAAATACATCCTGTTGAAAATCACAAAATAAATTATATTTTTCCTTGCTCCATTAATTTTTGTTCATTAGTGTGTGTTCGGTTAATAAAAGTTCTGATGATGGCAAAGGAATGCAGAGCGTATAAATAACACTGTGTGCAAGTAGGTGAAAATCTGACAATCGCGACCTACCAACGGCTTGTCAAGCTGATTTTCACTTAATTTGCTCCTCGTTCGTCTGTCTCCACGACTAGACCTACATCGCACCGATGAGCTGGTAACGAGCATGAAACAGCGAAGTCTGAGATTGGTCATGGTAACAGAGACGGAAACCAAATGTACCCATTTCAGCCATATAAAAACATGTTTATCTAGTAACACTCGGTGCCAATCAACAACTAGAGTCACTCATAACAAAAATAATGGAGTGATAACACATTGAATAGAATGATTGCTGGTGACTCGGTTGATTTTCATTTTGTTTATTCGACTATGTTCTCTCAACCTTCACCCATTATAATTTATTATTTTGATCACTCAATGGTGCCAGTGATGGTGACTAGACGTTATCGTCATGCTACTATAATTAGTATGTTTTTCTAGAAATTTCTTGCCGGAATCCTCACGTACACAATCACGTCCTTCACCCTTGTATCACTATCCTTATATAAGTGTATTCCTTAAAAACTTTAATGAGGTATAAATGATAGGAATAGTATAGTATAAGTATTTGATTTTAATTTACGTGTGCCATTGAACAGGTGCTTTGGTTATGAATAATCACAGTTGGAATGCGCAAGGTGTTTCACCATCAGTTACAAAAGTTCCTCCCATTTTTATGAAAACTAAATGAGATATTTATTCCTGTTAGTCAGGACGTTTAGTAGCCCTCATTTACGTCAGAAACAAAAAGTAGAGGGCAGTATTTTGTTTGGAAGCTTTGATGGTCTAACTTTTGCAAGTTTAATTGTTAATCTAACCTAACAATAAAAAATTGATATTATTAAAATAAAAACACATCCCGACTTTCTCTACGTGTTACTCGTCAAGTAAATCGGTTGGTATTTAGATCAGTAATTTTCTTGCAATTTTTTTTAACTATAATTTTTTGTTTGAGACTAGCGTGATAATCAAAAATTTCCGCAAATCGATAAGCACATAATATGCATAGCCACTATATAATCTGACTGTAATAAAATTGAAAACCAGATAGTGGAGAATGTTTTTGCGCCAATATTTTGATGTTCGTCTAATTCATCCATATAATCAGTTTTTCATTACGATAGAAAACACCGGCCTGTCAACTTTTGACTCAAATATTCTAAATATACTAAGTGACATATAAATCCGAACACCCAGTTTAAATGGTTTTATTTTGTATAATAATAAAAATAATTTTGTATAAGTACTTAATGAAGCATAATAAGTAAATGATAAAAATTTCAAAATGATTGCACTGCTTTAAATCCCTTTGACCTTTAATAATGTGTGGATGCACCCTGATGTGCTACGCATTCTCCAACACGCCTAGGTATGCTTCTGATCAGGTGGTTAATGTCCTCCTGTGGTATCTCATTCCAGGCAACCACCAACTCCTCTCGAAGTGCTTCTAGAGTCTGAGGAGGACGTTGCAAATTGAGCAATCTCCTACCCATCATATCCCACACGTGCTCAATTGGGGATAAGTCGGGAGATCTTGGTGGCCATGGTAACAATGTGACATCATTATGTTGAAAGAAGTCTATTGTGACTCTTGCAACATGTGGTCGGGCATTATCTTGTTGAAAAGTTGGATCTGCCAGGGTGTCAAGATAGGGTAAAAGATGGGGTTCTAGAACTTCATGGATATAACGCTGCGCGTTCATGTTACCTCTGATGAAGATTAAAGGTGACCTGGAACCATAAGCTATAGCACCCCAAACCATAACTCCAACAGTGTGATGAACATGTCTTTCAACAAAAAACTGTGGATTCCTCCTTTCACCACGTCGTCTTCTAACCCTGGCACGACCATCGTGCATTCCTAAACAAAATCGAGACTCGTCACTAACGACAATACTGTTCCATTCCTGATCCCAGAGTGACCGTTGTCTGCACCACTCAAGGCGATTACGTCGGTGTTCTCGAGTTAAAGGGAGGACCCAGTGTGGCCGGTATGAAAACAAGCCAAAACTTCTCATTCGTCGGTAAACACTTCGCATGCCAATAGGTCTTCCGTGTTCTGCAAACCATTCATTTGCAAATGGACCTGGTAGTGGAGAAACGGTCCCTTAAGGCCAATAATCTTAGGCGGCGCTCTTCACGGTCTGTTGTTCTACGGCGGCGTCCAGTGCCCCTTGCTCTTTGCGTACGGCCTTCTCGAAGCCATGCCTGACAACACCTAACCACAGTGTCTACACTTCTTTGCACTCTAACTGCAATTGCCCGAAAAGAAAGTCCAGCTTCCCGAAGTCCCACTATACGGCTCCTATCAAACTCGCTAAGTTGACGAAATCGTACAGGTCTCCGTACTCTAGGCATCGTAACCGATTGTAAAGGATGTCAAGAAAAAAAATCCGCCAACGTTGATTCTTTACTGCGGCTGAAATATTCATTTTTAGAGCGTTAGTGAATTAAAAAAAAGCAGTATAAAAACCGGAATGTCTAACTGATGAGGCTGAAAATTTTTTCACTTGTTATTTACAGTAAGATAAATACATTCACCAACTTTTATTAAAATAGAACCATTTAAACTGGGTGTTCGGATTTATATGTCACTTAGTATATTAAACGCAGGCTTTTTTAAATTTTGCAGTGAAGGTTTGCACAAGATTTATGCGATCTGATTTTACCTGAAACGGGAATCATAAAGCTTCTCATAAGAGCCCGCAACCCACATTACACAGATTATCTGAATCAAAGAACGGTAAAATTCATTCAGACTTCGTAAATGATGTATAAATGTAGTAGCTAGACAAAAATACATTTTTCAGTGTTAAAAATCCTATCCAGCCCATCATAGACTGCTTTTGAAAGTACTACACTTTTTAAGTAAAATTTTTAGTGTCGTGTATTTTTTCTCCTCCTCAGACCATATTGTTCGCTAATAATATCCAAACATGCTAAATGAAAATACAACACTATCACACTTTATCTCTAAAAAAATTGTAGCCATAAACCCGTGCTAAAATTACAATATACCTGCACTACGTGGTAAGTTGCTGAATTTGGTACGGTTAAACGACCAAGCAATGAACGTACCCGCCAAGGTCGTTCGCCGTACCTAGTTGAAAGGCGAAAGAAGCCTGATATGTAGGAGGTGACGTCAATGGTCTAAAATTACCTACCATAATACTATGCAGTCATAGATTGGGGATATATTTGGGGGAAATCGGTCTATTCAAAAGCGTATATTTGGTCTATGATAAATTATTATTATATTTTATCGGTCAGTGCAAAGTCAATTTTTTACCAACATACTTTTCTTACTGAAAACGCTTTATTAAAGGTAGATACGATTTCTGGATAAGCACGTCGTAAGTCACACTACAACTTTCCCTCACGTTCTGAGCAAAAACATTGTAAGTCCGGGACATACTTGGTTTTTGCACGCACTACTCGTCGGCAGTTACTGGGAGGGTTCATTTTAAAAAACAGTACCGGTATGCCTGTATTGTTTTATTTTCATATTATGTCCACCAAAATATCAATTATAAATCGACTAACTTGCCCGAAGTCACTTGTTTAAGAGTTTTCTCATTACATATCAAAACCGCAGACACAATCCTTTGCATTTGTAAGTCTGAGAAGGTACTTTAAACAATATACGCTAAATATTTTAAATAGCTGTTCGTAAATAAAGTATAAAAATGGAATTACACACACACACACACACACACACATCTTTCTTGCAATGTCATTTATTTTGTTGAAAAAATACATTTTGATGCCTGATAGTTAATTAAGCACATGGGCTCTACCACCGATTGCCGATTATTGAAGATAGCTGAACGAATAGGTTTTTTGATGATTTAGATATAAAACGGGAAATTCGACGTTCTCATATGTTCGCTTTTCGCGGGCTTCCCCTATGTACGTTAAAAATATTAAAACATCGTAGGATATCACTAAAATTGTTGTTTATAGAACGAATATAATGATTTGTCATAGGTATAATTTATTGAAGCTGTTCATTAAGACTTTGTGGAGAATGTGTGGCTGCAGATATTACAGGAAAATTCAATTTTTTAGAATAATATGATTTTATTTTTCTAATAAATAGATCGGTCTAAATAAATTATACATATAATATCTCCTCTTGTTTGAATATGGATATCCATTTTTTTCATAGTGAATGCAGCATTCAGAATGTAGAGTGTATGATTTGTTACTGAATGCCAATATTTTCTCATTTCATCATGATTATACAGACTAGAAAATTTTAATACTAAAGATTCTTGCCTTGATAAGCAACGCAAAAGCGGTATGTGAATGCTAATGTAGGATTGATAGTATAATTAAGGATATAGTAAGTTCTTTACTATAAATTTTACCAACTATTTTTTTCGCTTGTTTGCCGTCTATAAAAAAGCTATCTGTACTCGTACATTACGCGTTATCAACTATCCAGTGTTGGGGTTACCCTACCTGTATATTGAAACATATAGTATCACTTTATGATCTAAAAAATGGACTTATCTCTAGTGGAGTTGTTTCGCTAAGTTAAAAAACAGACGTTCACTGCTACATACTTTTTTATATTTAACGAACTCTCTTTTTTATTCCAGTGAAGACAAAATCACGTCGCTGAGCGATACGATGAAAAAAATCGGCGCGTTCGCCGATTGCAAAAAGAAAGACTTCGAATCAGAACTGATCATCCCCAATGCCCCCTTCAGTCGATTGTTTACTGTTAGCAAAGCATCGCCGAAAAGCGTTGAGGAGAACGATCTAATGGAGAATGCCATCAATGACTGTCGAACGACAGTCGATTCCGTGGAGGTATGTAATACGCTCAGAAATTGTTTGTTCAAATGATCATAGTGTAGACTTCCGCATTATTTCAATTTATATCCGAACATTTTATAATTCACGAGGTTTCTCTTCTCTAACGTTTGTCATTCTCCCATCTTCAGTATATTACCACTAAAATTATACAACTCAACGTCCAGGTGCTACTGCTAGCGGCTACACTAGAACGTATTGCGCAGAATCATGGTTTCTTGTAGATTCGAATACGGTACCTTGAGTTTACGGGTCAAATATCAATCATTCGAAGAATCATCATCATGCCACTCGTTATGAAAGCTTTATCTTATCGTTATGTTTGTTTTTCTAGAAATATCGTTTTGGGGTTTTTAACAGAACTTGAGTGAGATATACATATGTACGAGGTCTTTAAATTAAGTGAGGAGACTGATTTTTTACAATGTTATATTGTGTCAAAATTACTCCCTTCGGAAACCACACAGCGCTGGAGAAGGTTCTTCCACTCCTCTAGGCATTGCTGGATACAGGAATAGCCTTCAGCTGGTCATTTTCGACTGTCCCAAAATGAGTTCTTTTGAGGAGAAGAGAAAAAACTCACAACGACTCAAGCTAGGCTAATAAGTAGGCTGAGTAGCCAGAGGAATGTTTTACTGGCCAAAAACTCGTTTATTGACATTGTTCTGTGACAAGGATTATTATTGTGATGCTCTTGATCTGATGAATGGTGGTGTGAGTCAAATTTAACTCTTCCCCGATCATTCTGACTCAACCGACGATCTAAACGCACAAGGTTCCGGATTCTGTTATTTTCATCCGTTTTTGAAGATGAAGGCCTTCCGCGTACATTTTCAATCGACTCTCTCCCTTGTGAAAATGCCTTAAACCACCGAAAAACCTGGACTCTTGGAAAAAGACTATCACCCTAGGCCTGTTTAGCAAGAGTTTATGTTCCATTGTGCCCAAATCTGAAGCAAATACTGATAACTGGAACTGATGTCACCCATTTTTAGAACACAATAGAAAAGACTGCTGACAACCAAATGACCCAAGCGAGTTCAAACTTGTACTGAATGCGGATCACATGGTCCCCTGCCACCCCTTCAAGCCTGGCGCATCCATTGTTACCAGATCGAATGCTACTTTGCAAGTCTCATCATTTAATTGGCAGACCTCGTATATAGCCGAATTTGATATTCCGACAAAAATAGTATGACTAGATCCTTTCAAAATATACTAAGTAAAAATGTGCCAAATCGTTTTTTATCAAAATGAAGTATGATCATGATGATTACTAGAGATTCACCTAATTCTAAGCACTTGAATGGAACCTAAAAAGCATATGAAACATATTCCAAGTTTTTCCTATATATATTGATATTGAATATAACCAGAAAACATGTTAACACATTCCATCCTTTTATGATACATAATATAGTGGATCAATGAATTGATGTAATGGATTAGTAATTTGTTAAATTCTTATCAGGAAACGAAAGAATCAGAAAGGCTAACAGAAGAACCTGAAATCGAACCGAAAACAGTGAGTAATGGAAACTCAAAACAGGAGAGAGGCTCAAAACTGGAAGCATTGACGATGGTCTCCACAAACGACGACTTCATTATGGTAGACTTGGTAATTTTACTTTGGCTAAAATGCGATTTACTAATAAAATAATTATCTTCATTTGGATTTATTGTTACTCCAACAACTGCTTACCTGAAGACTTAGGGTACCGGCATTTTTTTTGCCTAGCTGGATTATATCTCATTCATCAGTATTTTTAAATGTCTCTAAAATCATATTGTAGAAACTTCCGTTACCGTATTGCTTAAAATTAATCAAATATTGTTTCTTTTCAAGGAAATATGCAAAATGTGCAGTTCTTTTTTGCAACATAAATTATTTATCATGTTCTCTTCGTTATTATTTATGTCTAAATTCTACTTCACTCTCAGGTGTAGTTCAGCGTAGATCATTTATTCGTGGCCAGTTGTAAAAATAGCAAAACTCTCCACTAAAGATAGTATAGTACATTGTTCATTTCCGGTGTATTGAACTTTCTAGAACATGTTTACAGTGCTTGTTGACACACACTATTAACTCTATGATGTATTATCATTGCTCCTGTTGATAAAATTGCAATCAAAAGTCTTATTTTATTTATAAAATAGTTCCAAGAATCAAACAACAAAGATTGATTGTATCATAGAATGGATTAAATACTTAATGAAGTGAAATTTATGAAATGAGATCGTTTATATAATAAAAATGTTCATGCCTTTATCACCATTCCCAGTTGTTAGTATATATTATGATATTCTTTCAATATCAATAAAAATTAGTTGTTGGAGTAATCAAAATTTTAACATGTGGTTTAGATTTTATCAATGAAGTAATTGCTGCGCAAGTGACATTGCATGAGTGTTATTGTTTTTTGTTTCTTGTGTAGGGTTTCATCCGAATTTTAACTTCAGTGTATTCTGACAGTTTGAAGTTTGATTATTTGCCAAACTGATCAAATCCGACATGTGTTTTGCTAATGAGTATTAGCAATTATAATAGCATCTTCAGGAGAAGATTTAACATATGGTTAATGAGTTTTAGGTTTTTTCTGAAGATGATAACATGTTGGATGTTGAAAAATGGGTTTGGCAAGTAAAACAGTAGTGTTGGTAGTCCAGTCTATACTGTATCTGTTCATCTAGCATTAGCTGTTGATAGGTTCTTAATGCATGTGCATGTTTCATAAAAATTAATTATAACAATTTTAACGTGAGGGTGAGAATATAATCTTTGCAATTTAACATTTTTTCAAATAATTGGATTATTAGTAACATGCCACTTGATAAAATTAACTAACTATTCACATATAGATTGTAGGACATATATTAAAATTTTACTAGAATACTTGTTTGTTTTAACCTTTGCTTACGCATTTATTTAATAATAGACTATATAGTGCCTCTTCAAGTAGTGGTAGTGGAGTTCATTTGATTTTTTTATATGCTTCATAAACGTAGCTAGCTTCCTGTTAGTAACCGATGGAAAAGCTATAATTTCTATGGGGTATTTTCGGTACGACTCAAAAAACTAGTCTTACTCTTGGTTGGTTTCCCTATGTCTAGAATTATTATTATTTTTTTATATAACTATTTTGCTAAAATGTGAAACAAGATGTTTACTTTCCATACCTCACATATTTAGGGATCATTGATCTGCTAAATTATTGTTGTTTTATTTTGATGGATTTTAAAAGATGATTTCGGGTCGTAGCTTATTAACAAAAAAGTTTAAAAGTCCCGAAAACATAAGTTTTCGACTTTTTTTTTCGTGTTCATACAGACGATTCAAAAAATACAATTTGTTCAATTTTGTGCTTGAGGAATGTCGAGACAATCCAAGCACTAAGCAATCCGAAATTCAAACCTCCTGATCAAATATCGTAAAGCTAATAGGCATGTTCTGACAATGAATTTCTTACAGTTGTGGATAGTTGAAATCAATCTAGTCTAATCATATTAAACGAAAATACCCCTGGTTTGCGAAATAATTGTAGAGTCTGGTTTTATTGCTGCAAGTTGTTCAAGGAGGTATTTGAAACATGGATGCTTAAAATGGGTACACCAATTTTTGTGGGAAAACTTTTTATTCGACAACAAAGAATGAGAAAACGTGTTTTCTTGGGAATCGATTAAAAATGTTGACAGAAATGAAAAAAAAACTTCAAATGAGATTTTTAGGTATTTATGAAACCTAAAAAATGAGACTAAGCGTAAAAACAGCCAACTAATAGCAAAAATCTTATGGCCGAAAATGCAGGTTTTGGCACTTGTTGGTAATGTGACGATAATTTCACGCAACTACTTGAAATTCTTCAAATCCGTAGGATTCGTACTTCTAAATAACAACAAAATTGGAATAGATTGGTCAAGTAGTTTTTGAGAATTTCTGATTGTTTATCCCAAATCACCTGTTTTCCGGCCATCACTACTAGTTTGTTGAGTTCAAAGGGCATTTTATAGCAAAATACACTAGTTTACCTTGCCGATATGAATCGCAAACCATTCCAGAAGGTAAATGTTATTTTTATGTAAAAAAGGATGAGTAACTTATTTTCTTCTAAACAAATTCAAAAATTTCATATTTGTGAGTAATTCGCAACAAAAGATGATAGACACAACCGATTTGTTTTAAAATATGTATGGTAACGTATGTTTTTCGAATAGCGTAGCGCATTTGTTCGATTACTCACAAACACGACATGTTTGAATTTGTTTAGAAGAAAAAACGTAACTTTTAACATTTATCTTTCGGAATTGTCTGTGATTCATATCGTCAGGGTAAACACGTGTATTTTGCTATTAAATGCTCCTTGAAGAAACCCGGTATATTGCTCAATAAACTTACTAGTTGTAGTGATGGCCGGAAAACAGGTGTTTTGGGATAAACTATTAGAAATTCTTAAAAAAAGTACTTGACCAATTTAATCCAATTTTGTTATCGTCGCATTACCAACAAGTGCCAAAACCTGCATTTTGCCTCGTTTTTCGGTCGTAACATTTTTACTATTAGTCGAATCTTTTTACGAGTGGTCCCATTTTATAGGTTTCACAAAGACCTAAAAATCTTATTTGAAAAATTTGTTCGTTCATGTCAGCACTTTCGATTGAATCCCAAGAAAACACGTTTTCTCATTCTTGTTGTTAAATAAAAAGTTTTCCCACAAAAATTGGTGGATTCATTTTACGCGTCCATGTTTCAAATACCTCCTTTAACAACTTATTAGTTAGTTAGTTTGATGAATAGCGTTGATCGATCTTTTTTGGTTATTGGTCTGGTTAACTGAATTTGACTGTTGCAAATCGTTTGAAAAACATTGCAAGAACTTTGCTAATGTTATGTGGCAGTGTCATGATATTTTTACAAAATACAACGGGCAAAATGGAGAGAAATGCAACTGCAACTTTTTTGTCAGAATTTCCTTGATATAACCATTCAGAAATAAGACAGCACAACCTATTGCCAGAATAGACCACTGCGAACAGTGTATAGCAACTACTGGTTCTAACTGTGAATATCTTAGTATGCAATAGTAGTGCAGTCACCAGTGTGACCGCTAGGTGGCTGACGATTCTAGCTGCTTTGTGGATATGTGGTCTAATTGCCACTGAATACTAAAACAAACTGCTACGAGGTCCTCCTGGCTGATAGTTGATATGCTTTCATTCATTGTCCAGCGACAATTGACCAAGCCTAGACTATGCCAATGAATAGCCAAAAAGCACGAAACCGCTGACCATCTACAAAGCAACTAGAATTGTCAGCCATTTGGCTGTCAAACTGGTGAAAGCGCTACAATTGTGGATTAAGATATTCACCGTTCCATACCGTACCGGTAGCTGCTATACACTTTTCGCAGTGATTTATTCTGGCAATAGATGGTGCGTTGCGCTGTCTTATATCGATAGACCATCGCTTCTGGATGAAGGATAGTTGCTATGCTTTCGTTCGTGAAAAAAATGCACGAAACAGCTGCCCATGGCTGGCTCTCTTTGGTTGGACGGAAAAAGTAGTATGTTTTAATAAGAGTCTAGGGTTTGAATAACGTGTTCGTGAGGTAACTGAGTAAGGGTAGGAATAAAGCTACACTCAAACCGACATGAGATCTAATCATTGTGTTTTCATTTCCAGCGCACTCCCTTTGGCAGCGTAACCGAGAACAGCGAATTAGGTCGGTTTTACCGCGAGTGGCAAGCTGCGCCCCCCTTGCAAGCCTTCATCGACCTCCCACCTCTTGAAGAGGTTGACGTCTCTAAACAGTTGGAGAATTTCGAGACAGAGGCGAACGAATACAACACCGTCTTACAGTCATTATGTCAGTCGCCGAACAACAACTGAATTATCGCGTTTTTATTTTTAGGTATTTATTTTTTCATCCTTGTTTGTATATTTGCTTCCGTGGTATTTTTTTCACGTTGCGGACACTGTGTCAAAACGGATTTGTGTGATTACGGTTTTTCCGAAAGCTGCATATCTTAATTGTTTTGGAAATATAATGCATTGCTTTTGGGTTTTAAGGATATAATACACGATCAGGCTGGTTAACTTATACCCAGATGATATATACAATACTGAAAGATACGCAGGACGTATCGTATGCGTTTATTATAAATGTAATTTAAAAAAAATCCAGTGATGCTAGATTGTAAGGTGTTGAATGTTTCTTTAAAAAAATATAAATATTGTATGTATTTAGCAATGGAAGCACTTACAACTCTACACTGCAAAGCAAATGATGCTTAATTGCTACCAAAGGTCGTGACACGCTGGATTAACAAATTCCTTGAAACTTGCTTTATGAATCAACAAAAGTATTTATTTCATGACCGCATAACCCATCTATATTTGATTAAAACGCGTATCGAACAGCAAAGTTGGAACTGTTTCGGAAACAAATCGCATAAAATGGTCTACACTGTTTTAACAAAAAGTGTTTCGTACACTTTTGGTGGTCAATATGTATTAAATAAAGCATTATAAGATGTATAAGTAATGGAAGTATTTTTTTGTATGAATTTTAAGGGTTACGTTCTCCAGCTAAGCCATGTTCAAATCTCATTTGAATATATTTGTGGAGTTTTACATGAGATTTGTTTCACCACTGTGTCAGGCACAAAATGGAGCATACTTAATTTTTTTGGAGATATTTAAAAAAAAAATCACAGGTTAGGTATCTGCTCTGATTATAAAAAAGCGTTTAATGTGAAATCGCTTGTTATTTCAACTATGTATTTCAAAAAGCTTATAAATATACCTTTGAATATGGTATTTTTCAAAATTTCGAAATCGCAAATGAAATAGAGATATGCGGATGATTCTGGCAAAACTGTTTGAACTTCTCCATTGATTTTTGTCCTAAAATACAAATGAGATGATAATTTTAGGTTATCCGTTATGGCATGGTTTCCATAAATTAATCATGAATATTTTGTAATAATTGCGCAATGAAACATTTGATCACTTTACGTCTTTTCTCCTATTGGAACTACCATCTTCATGTTTAATGAGGATGATCAAATTTTAAATCATTCATTTTCTCGTATGTTTTTATTTATACATTTTGTGATATAATTAATTAGCAAATTTTGTACAAGTTGTATTGTTAATAAAAAACATAATTCAAAGAATTTTAGCAAACATATTTTTTGTTATTAAACTAATTTGATGTTGCGACTTGAATGAAAAGCTTCTTACGAAGGTAAGACTTCAAAAAATCTTTCTTGAGTTTAGCTACTTACTGCATTTTTGTAGTTTTAGTTTCCAAATTTACGTAGACAGAGTATTTTCAACATTTCCCACTTAGCTCTCAAATTTTTTGACAACTTGGATTCGATGATAAAAAAACATTTATAATAAAAGACCGTGAATCTAGAACTACTTACCATAGAGCAGGTCGTAGAGTAGATAAAATTTTGTATGTATCTCGGGCTTAATAATGGGTCAAAAACGTCTACTTAACGCTTGAGGTACATAAATGGCATTGTATGTTTTTTCGCTCTCTGTCTGCTAGTTATTCGAACTATGTCTAATAAAATATTTTTGTCACATTGGAATAGAGGTAAAGGTAAACGATCTGTTGGGACATTTTAATAAATGTAGAAAATCGGTTTAATAATGACATATCACAAGCTATTGAATTGTTAAATTATTGTCATATGAAGTTTAAATTATTTATTTGATGTTGCGAAATGTCCTATTTCATAATATATTCATTGCCAAAGACTGAATGATGACTGTAATATAGCTTGTATATAATCTATTATTAATGGAATTTATAAATAGAGTACTACTGATAGTACTTCTGTTTGAGATTTGTTTAATACAAATAGTAAATAAAATGTATTTAAGTCGCTAATATCTATTACTTCGACCTAGTAGTTTCCCAATAATCTCATGCAATGACGTCAATGAACTACTGGACAAGTACGTTCATAAAATTTGTCAAGAGGAAGGGGTGGGTGGCTTCTAGCAAAGTCGGCTGCAAACCTGCTACAAGGCTGGTAGAGTGTGAATGGTGGTTTTCCGCAATGCCTTTGCACTAAAAGGATGCAGATATTGAACCAAACTTCTTCAGGCCATGTATTAATGCTCGTGGTCCGATAGTATACAAAAAAGAACTTACAGCTGAAGGTTAAAATCCCATTAGAAAATGGATGAGGTAGCAACCAAACCAACACAACTAAACGTAAGGTACAAAATAAAAGATGCTACTCCATAATCTTGTGTTTTAGGGTATGAATCCCAGAATCTGGAAGCTAACGAAGCGACCCGCGCACCAACCAAACCTCAGCAGAAAGGAAAGAAATCGCGTTGGACGCGCGACGCGTCTGTACACGCAAGTTTTTAAAACAAGGTATCTTGATAGGAAAAGAAGGTATCTCGATAGGTAAAGAAGGTATCTTGATAGCAAATCAAATTTTAAAAGAAGGTATCTCGATAGGACCAAATATCCCTGTACGACTAGTACGTAAAGAAATCACAAGGTGGCGCTGGTTGCCAATGGATGGAACCAACTCTACGAGCGACCAACGATAATTTATGAGGAAATTTCTGAGATGTCGTTAATAATACTATGTGTCCAAAAGACTTCAACTTCAACACAATACTGAATCGCAGAGAAAGAAAGATACCTATAATACGTGTGAAAGTATAACATACAATCAATAAACTATGAAATTTGCCAAAAAAAAATTATTAAAAAGGGTGTGGACTAGGATCGGTACTCTACCTTTAATAAGGAGAAATTCAAATTACCGTAGGCTTAACTTAAATAGTCCGGTGAAATTATCTTTGCAAGCTTACCTGGCAAACGTAGTATAAATATAGTAAAATCAACTTCGCAAGTTTATCTGACAAACGCCTGTGGCAGTAGTAGACGGGATGAATAAAAAATAGTCTGGTAAAATTAATTTCGCAAATTTACGATAAACTCGTCACACGGGAGTAGTCAGTAGGCTTAACGAAAATATACTGGTGAAATTAACTTCGTAAGTTTGTGTGATAAACACTTCGAACGCGAGTAGTCGGTACGCTTGACGAAGATAGTCTGGAGAAATTAACTTCCCAAGTTCATCTGCCAAACGACTCGAACGGGGGTATAGTTTTAGTCACTGTTCTTGGCGGGTCAAAGTAAGACTACCAGTATCCCTTTATATATCTCCATCTCCCTCATAGATACACATGTAACCTACCCCTGTGTGTGAACGTTTGTTGGGTAAGCTCAAAGACATACGTTTTTTAGTTGTGTCTCCATCTCGAAAACTTTGTCGTTAAGTATGAGTAGTGCCCTTCAATCATATTCGTTAAAGTGACAACGCGTGTAATTTGAGTTGTGCTGCTATCAATCTTCAATATAAAATTGTAGAATGCCCGGAAATACAATCAATGGAGAAGGCCGACAGCTCGTGCTAAATTTATTAGAGTATTTCCAGGAAGAGAATGAAAACAGCGGTCCCCTGTTACCCACTTCATGCGCATTGGAGAGAGTAGCAGATGCGCTGAAGATTAGTCTGCGCAGTATTCAGCGAATAAAATCAGAAAATAAGAAAGATTTGTCCATAGTAACACCTGGGGAAGGAAACTCACAAAATCAAAAAATGCCAGACCGATGATGTAAGTAACGCCGTTGAAACAAATTAGGAATACTTTCTACGATGAGGAGTAAAGGGCAACATATCACGGCCTCTGCGCTCAATCAAGAGCTTAAAAAAGGTACATATACAACGTCCCGGATTCAAGTTTAAGGCGTATATTGAAAGCTTGCCATTTTTCCTACAAGCCAGAAGATAACCGCCGACTCTTGTGTGAAAAATCAGACATTGTTTCCAAACGTATCTATTTTATGAGACATTCTATGAATAACCTGAATAGTACAAGCCCTCTCCAATGCGGCGTTTTCTTAGATGAAGCGTGGATATTTGCCAAACGGTCCTTTAAACACGTTAGGCAAGATGAAAACGTATAAAGTTTGAAAAGCAGCCATTAGGGTACCGGCAAGGGGTATGTTGTTTGCTACAAAGTCAAAATGTGCTGACTACCACGATTCCATGGAAAAAAATTCTTCAAAAAAATGGGTATGCGAGAAGCTGATACCAGTGTCACAAGAGCCATCTTTAGTAATATTGGATAATACCTCTTGTCATAGTGCCTTAACAGAAAAAATACCCAATTCCAGTTGGCGTAAAATGCAAATGAAGCAATGGCTGCAAGACAAAAAGATACATTTTGATGATGACGCTTTTAAATCTATGTCGCCTTAATAAACCATCGGCTCCAAAATACGTGTATATCATAGACGAAATATTATATGAACATGGACATCAAGTTTAGCGGCTCCCCCTTTACCATTGTCAATACAACCCTATTGAGTTAGTCTGGGGTATAGTCAAACAGTACTATGATCGCCATATTGGATAAAATGGCTATGGCAACAAGGAAGGTTTGAGGCGATGCTCTGGCGAAGGGGACTCCTACAGTTTGTGTGTGTGAAACATACCGAGGAGGATTACAAACCGCTGGGACAAGCATCCAGTGTTTAAAGGAAGGAGACTATTATAATTATTCAGTTTCGAGAGAGTTCAGATGACTCTGATAAAGAAATCCAATAATTCATACTTTTATAAAAAAAATAGAAAATTTTCTATGTGTGTACCTTAATGTCATTGTTAAATATTTTGATAGATATGGAAGTTACAAGCTCGATGTTTATTAAGCCGACAGATTTAAAAGCTCGAGTTTAAGAGCATCATCATCAAAATGTATTTTTTTGACTAGCAGTAATTTATTAAGTCGCATTTTTATTATTGAAGATGGTTCTTCTAAAGCTCTCGTAACCTGGTCACATATCCACATCCAATGTTGAATGTTCCATCAAGTTAGCAAATAGATGTGTTATTTTGTTTTATATTGTAAATTCCGTATGTATTTTTTATTTCAACTTTAAAAAAACATCAAATGTCGTGTCATACTGCATGCATGTTTATGTACTAGATTGGAAGATTTTTGAGAATTATAATTAAAAAGTAAATAATTTTGAATCGGTTTCTATCAGTTGGGAAAATTAAGATTCGCCCATGGTGTTGTGACTCGACCTGTCTACTTATTTCATATGAAGTTGATGACGTAACCGCTAAGAACGGCGACTACAAGTATAGTGCGTGGGATTAACGGAAATAGTCTCGTGAAATTAACTTTGTCTGCATATCTGGAACGAGAGTGGTCTGTGAGATTAACGAAAATAATCTAGTGAAATTATCTTCGCAAGTTTACAACACCTCGGATGGCAACTGTAACTTAAAAAGTGATATTACATCGATTTTTTATGACATGTGGGTTTTTTGACAGAATGAAGGTTTTCCTATAAAATGTCACCTTGAAACTAGCTGACATTCACTTCATGCTCACTTGCAGCAGACGCGGAATGAACAACCGATTTTTTGCCATTATATAGGTTTTTACTTAATAATTTCGCAAGTTTATCTGACAAGCACCTCGAACGGGAATAATCGGCATTAACGAAAACGGGCAGCAGCGGTGGCCGCAGTAGTAGACTCGGTGGTCTCCTGATCAGTCGCCGTGCGCTGTGCGGGTTCGAATCCCGTCCCAACAGAATTTCTTCTCTTGGCTATGATTGTTGTGATTGCCCGTATTTGGTAGACGGTCTCTGACTGTCAAACGCAGAGGTACCACCCGGCGGGGTCAGAATGTGTGCATGTTGCATGCACACGTGTTTCCCTCGCCTGAGTCCGTGTGGCGTTCCCCTGTATCCCCCTATAGCTCCACGGCACCCCATGGGTGTTTAGGCCTTCGTGGAGTATAAAAAAAACTGTGGTGAAATTAACTTCGCGAGTTTATTTGGCAAATACATAAAATTGGAGTATTCTGGGCACGGGTAACCTGCAGTTACCTAGCTATACCTTAAAGAACAAATTCATGGGTAACTACTCGCTGTTAACTTACTGGAATATTAATTCATGTGTAACTGACAGTTACTTCGAACAGGGATAGACCGATATTATTTTGGTGGAATCAACTTCGCAACTCTGGCAAACACTTCGTGCGGAAGTAGTATGTACGATTAATCAATAGTCTTCTGGCATTAACTTCGTACATTGAACATTCATTTTGTCCGATTTTTCAAGCAGCAGTGAACAATTCTTGAAGACTAATTATCAGTTGACCGTAAATTTATTATTCGAGGTCTAGTTAACCAAACCGTAGTCATAGGCAACCCTGCAGCTAAGTATCGTATTCTATGCTCATCGTGTAATTCGTACAAGCCTCCAGTAAAATAAGTTGCACATTTCGGTCACCTTCTGAATAGTCGCGTAGTTCAGGGACAAACGCGACATTAGGCTTTTTAAAACTAGGATTTAGATGTAGGGATATGAAAAATCTCGTTTATTTATTTATAAAATAAACAGACAATGTATAATAACTATATTGTTTGATTATACGAAGGTAACACTACAAATTGCAAAAAATAATTTACTACTAACATAGTAGTAAGAGCTTATTTGTATTTACAATCGTACCAAAATATATACACGTCAACTCTCATAAAAATTATCTGTCAACTCTTACTCTCTCTTAAGAAAAATCTGCCTATCCCAAATTTTCTCTTTATTTAATTCAGCCACAGCTCGTGCTGCCTCTTCTGGATCGAAAAACACAATTTTCGCTTCATCACTGGGCGTGTTATTTGGATTGTATCTCCTACTGACATTTCTCGAATGATTGAAACCATCAAAAAACTCGAGGATCTCTTGAGTACCAGCCTTATAAGGAACATTTTTCATATAGATAGTGCAACCCACCGGAGCTTCATCTGTATCAACAGGAATTTGAAGGCGAGATCTAGGCGGATCTCTAGGGGCAAATCTTGACCTAGGAGGGCCTTCAAACTCGTGCTGATTGTCCTCAAAGTCCTCCTCGTAGTCCATCGATGCCTCATCATCGAAACGGCGGTGCGGACGGCCCTCAAAATAGTGTCGGGGCCGATTTTCAAACTGGCGAGGTGCAGCTTCATACGATCGGGAACCTGCCTCAAATCTGGGTCTGAGATGTCGCGGTCCTCCTTCAAAATGACCTCGTGGCCCACCTTCAAAATGACCTCGTGGACCACCTTCAAAATGGCTTCGTGGTGCCTCAAACGAATTACGCGGCCGGAAGGGAGGTCTGATGTGTCCTGGCATTCGTGAATCGGGAGGTGCAACAGGCGTTAAACTCATCAGCGGCCTCACTCCAGCCGGCGTTCCGGCTGCTAGCTGTGGTGCCAAAGCTGGGTCAGGTACGGGCAACGTATTCCCGAGAATTGCCATCATTTCGTCCCGTTTTATAGGCAATACGGAAATAACAGCTTCGCCTAAAACGGCCTCGTGTTTCTTCAATGACAACTTCGCATCATTAGTGGTAGCAAATTCGCAGTACGCTTGACCTGTGAATCCCATACTGTTGCTCATCAGATGGATTTTGGTAGGCATCACGCCGATATCAGAGAAAAAGTCTGATATGTTTTTATCTGTGGTTTTTAAAGGCAAGTTGGACACATTCACGCAATCTGTGACAATTTCTTCTTTAGTGGGCTCAGGCTCGCCGGTCTTTATACCTGCATCTACATCGTGTTGCCGGTTAATTTCGTTGAACTCCTCGTCTTTGCATGGAATGACGGTAACTTGTTTGCCTCCAACTACATGTTGGGATTTCTCTTCAAACGCTTTCTGTGTTACTTCAGGATTACTGAATTTCACATATGCTACATGCCCTCCTTTAGGCTTAGCAGTTAGTATCAGCGCCACGAGAGGGTGCTGCGAGAACATATGTAAGATATCCTGTTCTTTGGTATAGTTAGGTAGGTCGTCCACCTTCAAGGCCGTGAACTCTTTAAATTCTTGCGTCTGCGCAGAAGGGTAGAACGTTTTCGAAATATTTTTGAACTTATATGCTGTTTCGCTACCGTTTCCTTCCGGCCGATTTGGAAGATAACGATCAGTAGCTTCTTCGAACACATCATCTTCGATAGAAGAAATTTTCAGAGTATTACCATTGTGTTCTCCTCCATTCATTTGCAAAGCAGTTTCCTTGCATTTATACGAGCCAAATTGTACGTATACGATTCCTGTTCTTCTACCATTCTGGTCGTTGATAAATTTGATACCCGAACTACTGATATACCTCCCTTTGAACAGCCGCCTTACATCACTGTATGTTCCATGGATCGGTTCGACTGCTATACAACAATCTTTGTTATCTCCCCTTTGCGGAAAGTTGTTTCTCTGGAAGCGGCTTTGGAATGGCTTTTGGTCGTTAAATGCGTCGTTGCCTCTTTGGGGGCCCGCGAAATTGTTTTGAGCAGTTGGCGGCCAACTATCCCTCCCAGGTCTATCCTTGTTTCCATTGAAATTTCCTGGAAACCCATTCAACTGACCGGGTAAACTCGCTGCAATGTTGCTCATTGCCTTTTGAGCCTGACTGAGCGCCGCAACGTTCAAGCCTGCTTGAAGCAAGTGTGCTGACTGAGCAGCTTGAGCAGGTACTTCTATCGGTTTGGTCTGAGTTGCCCATACTTCCGGCATTTGCTTCCTGTCCTTCTGGAAAGATTGGATGGTACGGTCTGGCGAATTACGCTTCCGTTTGTCCTTGCTAGTTCTGCGATCTTTTGACCGAGCGCGTTCTCTGCTGCGAGATCTGTTTCTTCTGCTTCTTGATTTCCGGTCTCTGGATCTAGACCGACTTCGGTCTCTGTATCTCTTCCTATCTCTATCTCGTGATCGTTCTTTGCGATCTTTGGATTTAGATCGGGAACGTGACCGAGAATATGAGCGTGAACGTGAGTGTGACCTGAAATTGAAACCACCATGTTAATGATATTATTGAACCAATTTCACTGTAATCTTATAACTCCATTCAAAATTGCTATTTGCATTATCTTTTAAACACGTTACATAAGCAGTGCATGTCAAAATATCAAATCTTTCTGTATGAATTGTTTTGAAAGGTTTTACAGGTATTTACTGATTTTTTTCTCCTTGTAATGTGTTTGTGTCGACGTGGAGATGCATAGGCGCTTTTCAGAAACTAATCAACCCGACCAACTGCAAAATTTTTTGTACAATCAAATGTATGTATAGTTAGTATGATATTACATTGTATTTATTGCCAATCGACACTTGATAGTATACGACAACAATATGTAATTGATATTTATTCCGAAAATATTTGTGCCATAAGTCTGATAGTGATAACATCAGATATACAGGGTAGCCCATCCATGTGTGGACGGCATATTACTCATAAACAAATACATTTAGGGAAAATCTATTTATGGGATGTTATAAATGACATTTGGGGGCGCTTTTTTAAAATATTGGCCATTATACAGGTTGTCCCAATTTCCTTAAATGGCTCAAATTTTATTGCATATTTGGATAAACCAACTCAAAAGAAGAAAATTGTTAAAACATACTATGGGGTTTTGGTAATTAGCTACTGAGATACAAGGTGTTTTGTCTAGAAAAACCCCCCACTTTGGCAACCCCTCAGTCCGCCTTTTTGAAATTTGGAGTGCTGAATTTTGTATCAAAAAAAAACTTACACACCTCAGTTTTTATCTTATTTGTTACTTTTTCGGTTTTTTTGCCCATACAGGGAGTTGAAAAACGCAAATTGTAGTTTATCTCAAAAATTTCAAATGTTTTGGAGTAGATAGCATTGATTCATTATGTTGACCTGAATTCTGCAACTTTCAAATCTTCGATAGAAGTGGCTGTAAGAGACCATCCAAGCTTTTATAGATCGGTCAATTTGGCTAAACATGTCAGAAGCGTCTAAAGTTACAGATTTCCGTCTATCATCCGTGATGCATGGATAGTTCTTCTACAACCAATCCTCACCTCCTTCTATCCCTCCTGTCCTTATCCTTGCTCTTCACGCTAGGAACGGCCGCGGGCTTCACTGCAGGCGCGATAGTGGGCACTGCGGCCGGCATGGGCACACCAGCGGCAGCGGAGGCAGCCGCCGCCCTCACTGCGGGTGCCATCGGGGGCGGTTGCACGGCCGGCTGCATGAAAGCGGCGTACGATTGGTTGCGTGCCGCCTCGATAACGCGCTGCATCTCCGTACGAGAGCTGAGCATAAGCGAGATCTGCACCTCTTTGATTTTGCCGGAATTTCGGGTGAACGCTTGGCGGGCATCTTCGTCGGTGCTGTAAATTGGAAATGATCATTTGCAATTTTTGACCGTTAAATTACTATTTAAAATGAAAACTATGATTTTTTATAATAATAATAATGACATTATTATCAAACAGTTTCCCATTTACAGGATAATATAACAATTAAATTACATGCCCTTGTGTGCTATTATGCGTTAATAAGACAATATAATGTAGACACTGAAGGAATAATTATAACATAATAATAAGAATAATACCATAAACACAGATGCAGATAAATAATCACCCCAAAAACAAGAATTCAAAATTTGCTATTCTGATAAACTCATTCAGTGAACAGAAAAATATATATCACAATCGCTCGAGATACAGTTTAATTTACTACACATAAGATAGACTGGAGACTTAAATAACATATTAGTCTTAGCTCTAGGTTGCTTAAATGTCATCCCGAGATGATTATAGAGGCACAATAAGACCAACTTGCCCTAGAACATCCAACAAATCCATGCAGCAATTTAAATAAAAACAACGCCGCTGTAAAGTGCATTATTTGCTCTAAACTATGTATTTCAAATCTATTACATAATTCATAATTATTGATTTCCCTTTCGGGATAAATGCCGTCAACTTTAAAGGAAAGAAATCTGAGAAGTTTTGCTGAACTGTTCAACACACATTTTATACACCTCATAATAAGGATTATATATAATGCTTATTTATTCAAGTTTCGATCTAATTTCGATGAAATCCCTACTGTCCTGGTTTCCTCGCTATTTTCAATATGAAAAAATGGCTTAGACTTTCCTTCTAGATGCCTTAGCTGCTGCCTCCTGAACTTTTTGTATAGCTGTTAACGTAGAATTCAATCGCTCGACACTTTAATTGATTTGTAAAGTGCATTATTTGCTCTAAACTATGTATTTCAAATCTATTACATAATTCATAATTATTGATTTCCCTTTCGGGATAAATGCCGTCAACTTTAAAGGAAAGAAATCTGAGAAGTTTTGCTGAACTGTTCAACACACATTTTATACACCTCATAATAAGGATTATATATAATGCTTATTTATTCAAGTTTCGATTTAATTTCGATGAAATCCCTACTGTCCTAGTTTCCTCGCTATTTTCAATATGAAAAATGGTTTAGACTTTCCTTCTAGATGCCTTAGCTGCTGCCTCCTGAACTTTTTGTATAGCTGTTAACGTAGAATTCAATCGCTCGACACTTTAATTGATTTGTGAAAATTTAGTATGACTTGAAGTCGCCTGTCATAATTTTCAGGATTATATAAAAATATTCTGACTGCTTACTTTAATCATCCTATTAGGACGCCTTTATGATCTCCTTGATTTTCATAGCTTTCTATTGTTCCGTGTCAGCGCTCTATTAGGTTATGTCATAAATACCTATTTGCATCGAAATGTTCATGCTTCTGATTCATATAATTTGTTTTATCAGCCTGAAATTTCCTAAAATTCGAAAAGAAAACATAACTTCATAATAGGAGAGCGCTGACGCTGACACGGAACAGTAGAAATCTAGAAACACCCCAGCCTTTCTGAAGGAGCGAAAAGACTATGAAAATCAAGGAGGCCTACAATAATTGCAGGAGCGACTAACGATAAGGCCCTTACACTCGCATAAATCACATGAAGACTTGCTATAAAACATCATTATAAAGTTACAATAACAGTGGTCGCTGTCGCAATAACTATTTTTTAGGAATATGACGAAGTGTATGGAAGGGACCTTTGGTGGCAGAACTGAGTTATTTACTATGTTATCTACGCGATAAAAATATATATTTCGTTCCAGAAAAAAACTCGAACAAGGCCGAGCAAAAGTTCAAACTTCAGCCACACGCCATCAGTTGAGCTAACAAAACTCGGTCGTAGCAGAATATTAAGAGCGAGTTAAATTATCCACCAATCTCAAAACACCTATAAGGTCTGTAAATTAAGTGATGAGACTGGCGTTCGATCTGGCAACAACGGAGGTGCCGGGCTTGAAGAGGAACATGTGATCCGCTTTCAGTACAGGTTTGAACCCGCTCGAGTCATTTGGTTGTCAGCAGGGTTTTTTGTGAAACAGTTTTTTTCTATTGTGTTATAAAAATGAGTGACATCAATTTCGAGCAAAGGTGTGCTATCAGGTTTTACATCAGAATTGGGAACAGTGCAACGGAAACCCTTGCTAAGCTTCAGCAGACCTAGGTTCTTCGGTAGTTTAAGGTATTGTCGGAAGGGATAGAGTCGATTTAAGATGAACCACGAAGTGGAAGGTCTTCATCTTCAAGAACCGATGTTAATATCGACAAAATCCGGGATATTTTGCGTTCAGATCGTCGGTTGACACTAAGAATAATCGAGGAAGAGTTAAATTTGATCCACACAAGCGTTCATCAGATCAAAAACAACTGTGTTGCATCTAGGGATGCAACGATATATCGGAAAACCGATAAATATCGATATATCGACAACTAAAAATATCGATACTTATCGTATCAAAATATCGAAAAACCCACCCAAATTAAAATACCCACAAAAACGGGTAAAACGCCTGACTGGCAACGTGACAACACTGACTCTCTAGAAAATGAGGTACGACGATATGACAAGTGTATATGTTTTGTGATATGACATGTGACATGTACACGTGTTGTACCTGTTGGTTGCTAATAAATTAATACTCAATTTTAATTTCAAAATATGAAGAGAAGTAGATTTTGGTCATATTTCAAAAAAGAAGATGGTACTGCCATTTGCATTATTTGTAACAAACGAGTTAAAACGTCTGGAAATACAGCAATCTAGCATCACATATTAAACACAATCATCCGGAAGAATGTGACATTGGATATGAAACCAATTGTGGCAACAAGCGTTCCTTCCGAACGTATTTTTTCAAAAGCAGGAGCCACTCTAACTTAGAGCAGAAACCGGCTACAAGGAAGCAGACTGTCAAAGTTACTATTTTTAAGTTCAATAGCTAGTACAAAATACTGGAATTAATTTTCCCAAATAAATGTATGGAAAGAAAAACACATATTATATACCTATCCGAATATTGTTTCACTTCACATACATAAGTATAAAAATTTATATACATACATAATCGATAACTGTTTGATATAACTGAAACTGCATTGGATTTCTAATTTCTTCCAAAAAAAATATGAAATATCGATATATCGGCTTAATAGACCGATATATCGATAAAAGTTTGCATCCCTAGTTGCATCACGATAATGCTCCTTGTCACACAGCAATGTCAATAAACAAGTTTTTGACCAGTAAAAACATTCCTGTGGCTCTTCAGCCTCCTTATTCGCTTGACTCGTCAAAATACTTTTCGTGGTCTTTTCAGGGCAAAAAAAATATTTAAAAAAATGTATAAACAAATTTGATCTAGGTTACCGTCTTCAATGCTTAAGAACTCGGTTAAAAATTCTAATTTTTGAGGTCGCCAGGTATCTAAATTCTACGAGACCTTGAAAAGTATTTTGGGATTAGCTTATTTTAAAGCGATTGTTTTTCAGGCCAAAATTGTCGAACTTTTGGCTGTCGCAGACTGTACTAATGATATCATATTCCACCAGAAGATACCCAAAATCAATTCAAACGGGCATATGTACTGTGTCACCACCAACTACTTATGTATTCAACTATATACGTGCCGTAGGCTATGGGATTTTCTTTTCCCTCGTTTTGAAATGACATCTTAAGAACTGCATGGTGGATTGAGAAGTAATTTTGCCTTGGAAGGTGGATATCACGTTTACGTTTACGCAATTCTACTTAGCAACATTGCTATTACTGTTTACACTATATGTAAACGTCCACAGGAAGCATATGGTTGGGCATCTTTTTTCAGGATACGTTAATCATTGCTACTAGATTCCTGGAGTGATATTATTCTGAAGGTTAGCCCACCATTCCTACTAAGAACGATAATAAGACTTGCCCTTTAACAAAATAAAAAATAAATCAAATTCTCATCAAAGCAATTCTAACGCATATTTTGTGGTCTTTGATCTTATTCAGTTGGCTGCAGCAACGAAGCATAGTGATCTTCCAAGAGAAGAATTTGTAGCACTGTGTTTCGATGCAGCTGATGCCAGTGTTGTTCAATGTCTATTCTATTACTTCAAAATTGAGAATTTTTGAGGATGAGATTTTATTCTATTTATATTTTTAATTATAACACCCTGTATCTTGACAATGGAGAATTTGCGGACGTATGTTTATATGAACTTTTTGTGTTAAAATTACTCGAAGAATCGTCTATTTAATATCCTGATATAATACTTTTAAATCCAAAAAAATTCATCGAATAAGCCCAGTTTCAAAAACGAAATCTCTTTCGAAGCCCGTAGCACAACAAATAAAAGAGCCACAAAAAAAATCGTGTTTTCTCTTTCACACCGACTACACTTCCGCGCAAAAGTATAGGGACATCATCAAAAAAAGTTATTTTTTAAATTTGTGTCTGGTTGTGTTTTATTATTAAATCTTTTATATAAATTAGAAAACAGACTATATTGTTAAGATTTATATCCATTTGCACTAAATTAGCTAATAATTATTAGTCAAAATGATGAAATTATGAAGGAATCAAAAATTTTTATTTCATATTTACGCTGTAATTTCAAGTATAACTATTATTTTATTCTGAAGTATTCAAATATTGACGCTAGTGTCTTAAACAGTCACTCTGAAACCGATTATACTCGTATTTGCTGAAAATGGCTAGAAAAAAGGAAATTTCACTTAAAAAACGTTCACAAATACTTATTTTGAGAAAAGTAGGCAAAACAATTCCTGAAATTGCAAATATTGTTGGTGTCTCGAACTGTGGAGCGGAAACCACAAAAAAAACAACCCAAGCTGATGATAGACACACTTTATTGATGAGCAAACAAAATCGGTTCAAAACAGCACCAGACATTCGTGCCGAAATCAACAAAACCCTGACTAACCCAATTTCGGTGGACACTGTCAAACGTCTTTTGTGAGAAAAGGGTTATTTTGGTCGCGTTGCTGTGAAAAAACCACATCTACGACCTAAAACAAGCGTAAAAGATTATTGTTTGCTCGAAAATATAAAGATTGGTCAGTTGATCAGTGGAAGTCTGTGTTATGGACCGACGAATCAAAGATCGAGATTTTTGGATCTAGTCGACGCCAATATGTTCGTCGAAGTAAAGATGGGCGTTATAATCCCCAATGTATTGCTCCAACTGTTAAACATGGCGGAGGCTTCATGATGGTTTGGGGGTGTTTCAGCTACGATGGTGTTGGAAAAATGGTCAAACTCGAAGGAATAATACGGAAGGAACACTATCACAATATTCTTCAACGAAGTGCCATTCCATCCGGCATTGGTTTGATCGGCAAAGGATTTATCTTTCAACAATCCAATGATCCCAAGCACACCTCCATGAACTATCTATGGTCCATGGAAGAGGAAGGTGTGCTCAAAATCATGGTTTGGCCGCTGCAAGCCCCTGACGTGAACCCGATCGAATTATTATGGGATTAGCTCGACCGGCAGGTGAAGAACATGCACGTGACCAGTGAAAAAACGGTTCTTCGACAGTCTAAAAGTGGCTTGGGAGAATATCGCAACTGAAACACTTCAAAAATTGGTCAGAGGGCTTCCAAGAATATGCGCTGCAAGCATCAAAGCACTAGGTGGACACATTGATGAAAAAACCCTAATTTGACTTGTCAAGATCTCTTCGTTATTTTTAAACATCTTTTTAAGATACTTGGATGTAATAAACATAAATTATGACAAAATAATCTATTTTCTAGTTTATACAGGGTGACTTTGAAGTTGAGTCATTAATTTTCAGATAATGATTGTAGAAGGAAGATAAACCAAAATATGTGTGTAAAAATAAAAAAAAAATAAAATTTTTACCTTGTTTTATAAAGTATCCTCCCGACAAGTATTTCAGTGCGGACCTGTATTTGATCGTGAGGTCCCCTGTGAGGTCTTAAGTCACCTGATTCACAAGCCCGTTGTACTACATTAACAAAGGCACGAGGGGTTGGTTGCACTCGATTGGGAAACCGATCCGCATAAACATGTGCCATTTTTTATTTCGTTTGAGCCACGCAACACATACCACTATTCACTGACACTAACTGTATACAAATGAATGAGATACCTGTAAAAACATCGTTCCAAATTCTTTCGCTTTTTTGTTTCAGATGCGATGAACCGATACGGCGGATTATATCCATTGTCGCCAAACACGACCACATAATATTGTTATTGAGACAGGGCGGTACTCAAACTTCCAAAGGGCTATAACTTTGTTACTTTAATTTTACCAGGAAAATGGTAAAGGAAAAAAACATTTCGTTTGATCAGATCTACTCACTGTTAAAATAAATGACTCAACTTCGAAGTCACCCTGTATAATAGTTTCCATCACAAAATGATGTTTAAAACAAGAAAAACCAATCAAAAACTCAAAAAAATGATTTTTTCGATAGAGTCCTTATATTTTTGCACGGTAGTATAGATGTACAAATAGGCCCAATATGAACGATTTTTAAAACCTCACTTTTTTCGCTGTCCGCTTCACGTAAAATACCCCTAAGTCAATTTTGTGACAGTTCTGTCATTTAAGTCGTAAATTTAGTATTATTTTTGAAAAGTGTGAGTGTTTACAGATCAAGAGCGGCACAAGCCTGAAGAAGATATGCTTCCATGGGTATTATTATGTTGATACAACGCTATCACTTAGGTAGGAAAATGAGTAAAAAGTATGCACTAAAACTACGCAATTTTTGCGACAAACATTGCAATGTAAAGATCTATTCGAATTCATTGGTCGTCGATCAATACGCAAGTGGGTCCGTGGTTGCAGGTGATACTTGATTCTGAAAGTATCAAGATGTTACGATCGATGCATCATGCGTCGCACATTCCGGAACGGTAGACGTAGCAAGTTAGGATATTCTACAATCTTGAGAACATCTTATTTATTAGACTTGTATTAGAAAAATAATCCAAATAGTCGCTTTGCCATAAGTATGCAAATGAGAAATCAGTTAGTTGTGGACGAGATCATCCGAGTTGTCAGCAGAATAAATACCTACGTCCTTCAACTTCATACATGTGATGTATATCGCCTACCTGAACGCAATGAAAGCATCCCCTAACTCTCCACCAACGATATGAACTCCGCCTTCTGGAATGCTGAGACCGTGAAAGTACTGACGGATATCGAGAGCGTTCGCCGACCACGGCAAGTTCTGCAACCGGATTATGACACTCATCTTTCCTCACCTGAAAGGAATGAAGAAACTGTTGTTGTAACGTACTGGTAGGATGTGTGATGGTATTTCGAGAGCATTCAAGATATAGGGTTTCTTAAATAAAACACACTCACTGAGAATAAATATAGCTATTTATTTTCCAATTATTACAGTCAGAAACAGGGTGTAAATACCAGGTCTCCGAGCCTTCGTCCTGTAGATCTTCATAGCATCAAGGTTAGATTCTGAGTAATAGGTATTTATCTTTCTAGGACGTTAAGCGGGCGTTTATGGCCTGCATCGTGAAATTAAAGACCAAGGGCTCTAAGACGCTAGCGGACATAAACGCTCATTACACCCCAGGATAAATACAAAATATCTATTAGAGGACAATTCATAGATATGGGGCGCTAGAGTTACTTTACCGCCATATGGCATAAATATGGACTGAAAAGTAGGACTTAACGCCCAGAAAATTTATTGACTTTGCTCTACAATCGTAGATAATACCTATTTATGTATCCAGGACGTATAACAGGCGACATAAACGCCTATTATGCACGAGACATGCACACACCTTTATCTATGACCGGCTACATGGTGAGTAGAAGATTTAGTTTAGTCTTCAAGTGGACATAAAAATAAACTGTCCGTATACAGCTTGTCCCATTTTAATATCCTCACTTAAATATTTAAAAAAAAAAGTTTCAAACAAAAGTTGTAGAATTTCGAGGAAGCAGAATGACAGAGGCTGCGATCCTCAAGGCCATTTCAAGGTCAAACGAATATTTTCAAATGGATCGCCCAGTTTTTTAGATCGGAACTGTAAAGAAGAGGCAATTTTACCTCCGAATATGACCATCACCATGAGCTTATTTCAATGTCAAATCACTGAAAATAATTTGCTCTAGTAAGAACTTTCGACATCACAGTGAGCTTTGTGGGGGTTAACGAAAGGTGACCTTGATCATGAACTTCACCTTCAAGGACATGTTAACATTTTACACTTTTGAATATAAAATTTCTTGGTCTATGCAATTTTGGTATAAATCAAGGGGTAGCCTTGCTAACATTTAAGATGAACATTACCTTGACCGATGTCTAGGTCGCATTCGAACGTAACATTTGCTGCTTTTCCAATTCCAAGATAAAAATGAGCGGTTTCCTTTGAACATTTTGTTTGAAGGTCATGGTCACGGTCACATTTGGATGGAAATGACCGTGAAGTTAATGGTTCTAGTCAAGGTCATATTTGGACATAAAATTTCCTCCTCTTTCAAATTCTGGAGTTAAAATGGGGTTCCATTTAAAAATATTCGCTTGACATTGAATGTCGTGGTAAAGGTCATGGTCAAGATCACCATCGTTTCGCCCCTATAAACCCTACAACTTTAGTTTTTAAGGAAGCGTAGTTTCGAAATACTTAGTTGCAGGGATTAAAATAGGGCACCATGTATATCACCTGATGCCATTTGCAGGCACCATCGCGTAGCAACAAATAAAAAGGAATAGTTCTCGTGGTCGATGAGCAGGGCTCAAGTCATATAGGTGTCCCTGGGCACACAGGAGCTGGGCAGGGTTATTACGTAATATACCTAACATACATAATGTAAAAAAAAACAAAATGTCATCTTGTTGACTAACTAGGCTAGTGTTCAAATAGTTCATTCCGCGCTTGATACAAGTGAGCATGAAGAGAACAAAAACTAGTTCCAAGTTGACGTCTTGTTGGAAAATCTACATAATTTCATAAAACACCGACACAATACGTAATACAGAGACCCACTTTCTATGCAACTTCATTTGAATTTCGAGCATTTGGGGCCACCATCAAGCCGGTGCCCTAGACACGTGCCCCTTGTGCCTAGGGTAAAGACGGAATAGTCGATGAATAGGTAGAGATTGCGAGCGCACAAAGTACATTACCGCCCTACGGTATGAAGTAGACCGTGACCTGAAAAGCACGAAAACCTATGCACTTTACCGTCCGATTGTACATAGTTATTTATGCATCTAGGGCGTTAAGGGTGCGGCAGAAAAAAATATTACGTAAATAATGTTGGATCAGTTTCTTAAATCCGTATTACAACAAATGAAAAATAAATCTTCAATGTAGTTCCGTTTAAAATCATCCTCTAAAAAAGTTATCTCAATGAAGACCAAAACATTCTTTTTTACTTCTACGTCACTGGCAAGGAAGGAGATGTTTCCTTTGAAGTTACATGACATTCACGCAACGTAAAACCATGTAACTGATTTCCGTCAGTCTGTTTTTTATACCGAAGCAGCCGCGCTTAAGGTTAGTAGAACTGGGAAAAGCTTTCTCTTGTAGATCGTTCCACATTTCGACCCCTCGGGACAAAGGAGCGGTCGTATCGGACAGTTTTGGATGTACGAAGTTGAACACGGTTACGTTGGGAGGCGGATCTGTCTGGCAGGCACATTGCGCATCATGGAGAAGCAAACCCCGTTGGTGTAGCGGTAGAAGAGAGCTAGATAGCCGACGACCCGCCCGTGCGAATGGGTCCCGAGACTGTCTGTTAGAGAAGAGTCACCGATCAGTCGGACAGCATCGAGCATGGATAATGTAGTCGGGGCGGTAGCATCCCAAGCCTGTGAGCAATTCTCGAGGCTAGGTCTTATCTGGACCCTGTATATAGTGAGGAAGTCATGCGAAGAAAAGTACTTCTTAGCCCTAAACAAATAGCCTAGCTTTTTCCCAGCAGCTGCCGCTATTGACGAGATGTGTTCGTGCCAGATCAAGTCCTCGGTGATCTGGACTCCGACCAGCCGAAGTGAACGACTCTTCGACAGAACTCGGCCATCCCTCGAAACGGGATGAGCGCTAGGACGCCTTTTCTTCGTCAAACTACAGTTCTGTGTTTTGGAAGCATTAAACTATACAAGATTGTTGCGCCCCCAAGCAGTGATAACCTCCAAGTGTCTCGTCAGAGAGGAAGCCGTGCTAGTCTTTTTTTTCAGCTCAGTGACAGAAATCGGCTTGTCACTCTGAATTCCTGCATCTAGAGTGCTGTCATCAGCAAAGCTGTGGATTGGGTTGATCGTACTGGAAAGGAGGTCGTTGATATCTGTTGAACACCCGCGTTGACGTTGTGGGATGAAGAGGAAAACACATCAATTACGACGGCTATCTTGCGGCCAGAGATAAAGTCAGCCACCCATCTGCAAAGCTTTTCTTTGAGGTCATATGATGGAAGTTTGGTTAGGAGGGCAGCGTGCTTCAGCTGATCGAACGCTTTCGTGATATCAAGAACGACATAAGCCTCACCATAAGACTGGATGTATACTCTACAATTGCGTGACGTAAGCTAGGAGGTCGCTTGTGCCGGAAACCACACTGCTTGTCGCTAATCAAGCCGTGACGATCTAGGTAGTCCAGAAGCTTGCGTTTTATGAACCTCTCCATCACCTTACTTATAACATAAAGCAGAGCTATAGGCCTGTACTTGTAAGGGTCGGTCTTAGATCCTTTTTTGGGATGGGCTAGGCATCAGCAAATTTCCAGTTTTCTGGGAAGGTGCCGGATTCATAAGACATCTGGAAGAGACGCGAAAGAACTGGAGCATACTCCGCTACACACCTCTTCAGGACAATGGCAGGAATCAGGTCCGGACCAGAAGATTTGTTGATGTAGAGCGACAAGAGCACCCGTCTTACGGTCTTATCCTTGAATGTTACTTCCCACTCAGTGTAGGGAACCCTTTGAATCGACGGAACTTGGGCGTTGGGGGGACGTCCATGGTGGAGTTGGAGGTATTCAAGTAAGTCATCCCAGTTTTGGTCCGAGGGAGAACGATAAGGGCAGCAAATAAATTTGGGGGATGTTTTGGAGTTGAGGCGAAGCCTTCTCCCTTTGTCCGCTAACCCTTGACCTCTCTATAACTTGGAAGTGCACTTGAAATTATGGAAGAAGTATGCTAGAATGCCCATGTTTTTGAACATCTATCTAATGGCGGCAGAGCTACAGACAAAAAAATAAAAATCACTCAAACTTCGTTTTCTTGACGTTTCAGATAATTATTTTTGGATTTCTTTTATAAAATGCCAAAAATTAGGAGGTGGGGGTTAGCACGAGGCGGGCTATTGTATGGGGCGAATAGGGGTATTTCTAAGGTGTAACAATATTGTAACGGCCTAAAAAAGTATTTTTTGTAATTTTTTATGGTGGATGAAATTGTAATAAAATCATATTCGAGGAATTTATTCAGCATATCAGCTATCAAGTAACAAAAAAGAAAATTATCATGAAAAAATATTCAACCGCACCATTTTACTCAAGCGCGATTATTTAAAACGGCACACAGAATAACAATTTTCACTCTTCACTCGAATTTTTTACAATATTATGAAAATAATATTTTTTAGAGAAATGCGTAAGGGATTTTCGATAGTTTAATCATTGTTCATTAACAAATTAGAATTTTTTTTTGGTCTAAAAGTCAAATACTCACCAACCACACAAAAATTAAGATTTTTTATTCCCGTATCGTCAGTCGTCCCTACAATTGTAGGGCGCGTTTATGGCCTCCTTGATTGTCATACTCTTTTCTCTCCTTCGAAAATTTCTAGATTACACTCGTCCCGTGTCAGCGTCAGCGCTCTCCTATTGTTAAGATATGTTTTCCTTTTAAATTGTAGGAAATTTCAGGCTGATAAAACATGATAAAACTCAAAAGCAAGCACAATTTGATGCAAATAGATGTTTGTGACATAACCTCAAAATAGAGCGCTGACACCGAGAAGTAGAAAACTATGACAATCAAGGAGGCCATAAACGCGCCCTACAATTGTAGGGACGACTGACGATACGGGCCTAAAATCCCCTACGTATTTCTATCTGTAAACATGTAAAATAAGTAGCTTTTTTCTAGACAACTTTGCAGCAGCTCAATTTCTATGTGCCTCGCAATGATGACTGCAGTGTCGCCATTTTATATTTCTATTATAATTTGTTTTGTTACTCAAGTATACACGGTGTCCGATTTTAATCTCATCACCTGAATATTTCGAAAACTGCGCATTCCATAGTTTTAAAAAGTTGTAGGGTTTCAAGAAGGCCAGATGATGGTGACCTTGACAATTACCTTAACCACTAACTCCAACATCATTACAACGTCAAGTGAATATTTTCAAATAGAACCCTCCTTTTTTTCACTTCGGAATTGAAAATAAGAGCAAATTTTTTCGACAGCACAGTTACGAGGCTTATGGGATCACCCAAAGATGACCGTGACCAGAGATTCAAGGACAAGTCAAAATTTACAAAGGAAACCTCTAATTTTTACACTTAAACATGACCTTGACCTTGGAATCAAGGTCGTATCAAGCTTAAATGATATTTGATGTCAAGGTCATATTTAGACGTGAAATTTCCTGCCTTGTCCATTTGCAGTATAAAAATGAGAGGTTTCCTTGAAGATCATGGTCAAGGTCACTTTTGGGTGATTCTCACAGGTGTGCTGTCGAATATTTTTGCTGGAGCAAATTGTTTTCGATGCCTTGATTTGACCTTAAAATGGACAAGGCCATGGCCAAGATAATGTTAAGACGTAAAGTTTACTCTTCTTTTTTCGATTCCTATGCGAAAAAACGTGGTTCCATGAGAAAATATTCAGTTGGCCTTGAAAGGGTGTTAAAAGTCGTTTTGCCTCCTCAAAACATACATTTGTTTGAAACTGTTTTTTCGAGAACGCGCAGTTTTCGAAATATTTAGGTGGGAAGATTAAAATGGGAAACTGTGCATGATGAATAACTCGCTCCAATATAATTTTATTACATTTTCTTCCCCAAAAAATGACTTTTTCTAGGCCATTGTTATCCCTTAATTTTTTGGTCTTAGCATATTCATACGTTTCCAACATCGACAGTTTTACGCACCTATGAAAACATATTTAATACATAGATTTTGCCGTAGATTTACCCTTAAAACTTGGATAACTGGTTGATACTGTCGGCAGGGGAGACATTTCTATTTCGCAATATTGTTGACTATGGACTAATTGCATGGGGCTGTTTGACTGACTTGATCCATTTAACTTTTTTGTTATACATGTTCGTTGGTAACTTTTTTCTTGAGCCGAACATAAACCTTTATGAACTGATAACAGCGTTGTGTCATTTTGTTAAGAGAAAATGCTATTTTTGACATGACCGTCCGATTCAACAATAGAATGTCTATATCTGGTTTTCCGCTAGAGAGTTATAGATGAAGAAGAACAGCTCGCAGTCTCCATGGCTCCACAGTAGAGATTCCCGAGGTGGTATCGTCCCCTTTGATGCTTAACCGTCTGTCCCCTTCAGACGTTCTCAGTGTCACGGATGTACAGGAGCAAACCACTCCGACCTAATCACTCAATCTATCCGAGTTTGGGATGGGGGCGTAGAAAGCGGTAATAGACAGTAAGGATGTTGCGGATAAATATCCGCATCAGCAACAATTTGAACATCGGCATCTGTATTCGCATTTATCAATGTGGATCCAGACGTAGTTCAAGTCGCGAAGTGTTAGTGCTTTACTCGAGTGGTGGGGCATTCATCAAGAAAAATTGAAAATACAATAACTACGCAGATTTTTAGCGCCATCATCATCATCATCAAATGTTGCAGTGAATAGTTGCCGGTAGCGCAAGTTAAATTTATGAGCCAATGCGAAACAGGCTTGAACCTGATAAGATGTTCTTTCCAATAATGAGTTTCAGACTATTCGGTACAGTAATACACAGCTGGGCGATATCATATCATTAGTTTATATATTTGACAGCCTCTGACAGTCCGGAACTCCTTGTTCGTTCCAACCGATAAAATATAACCCATCATTAGTAACTTACAACTCTGTGGCTTGGCTCTAAAAGGGCCAATGTCAAAGTTCATCGAAATTGAGTTTGGCCCTGATTTTTACTGAGAAAAATTAATACTTTATTGTGTAGAAAGGGTTTAAGTCTATGAGCTGTCATAAACACTGTAATGGAATTCCACTAAGGCCAATGTAAATTACTCGAATGCCTCATATTTTATAAAAACGGTCACAGTTGACATAGTCTCGAAGTTAAAGAGGTTGTTTCATAATAGAACGGCCTAAGTCTACATCAAAGAAAAATATTTTCCTGGTCTGTAGACATCGGCCAAGTAGTCGAGTGAGCAACACGTGGTTCGCCCAAAATTTACTGAAGCTGAACTCATCAACTGATTGTGTTAAGTGCCCAAAACTATGTCTGAATGATGTAAAAGGAATGTACAACTTGGTAGAGAGCTGAATATTTAAGAAGGCGAGTTTAGCGAGGATTTTCTTTAAGAGAATGTTTTTGAGGTTATGCCTCCAAAGCGGCATCGACCGACTTTGTCAAACTATGTTATGTATTTTTTATTCATTTTAAGTGGTAATGAATTGAAACGCAGGACAGCACTGGCTGATACCTAAAAGAACCCACAAACAGTCAACAGATGATAAAGGAAATTAATATTTTCGATTACGACTGTGTTAACGGGTTGTGACGATTGTTTCAACCTATTACTGTATAGTGGAAATCGCAGATGATTGTTCCCTTAACCACCTGTATCTGTTTTCAGAGCAGGTGTTCGAAGAGAAAATTCAATGGTTATTAATAGTTTCACGATATAGTTTCTATATAAGTACCATCATTTTTCGGAGAAGATGTGTGAATCATGTTATTTAGTCAAGGTATTCAGATATATCAGCTTTCACTAACTGGTGTCATCAGACCCACTTACGTCCAGCTGTTAGAACTCGAGATTGGTTTTTGTTACCTTTTTTTCCGGTAATTCTGCGACAAACAGCTGTGAGCTTTGGAACCCGAGTTGCTCGTGACCAGGCACATCTTGCTGCAGTACAATGCAGTCTCATGTAACGGGAGCGCACAGTTCAACAGCTGTTTCTGATATAGCACAAGAGCATGATGGCGTGAATCAAAGCAGCTCGGATAAATTCATTTCCAGTTCCGAATCATCTGACTCTGATAGTAGTTCTTATCATTTGATGACAAAAAAAAGTACAGTAAACGAACATAAGTCCATGTGACTGCAGACGTTATTGGGGCACATGTCTTGACCAGGAAATGTAGAGGAAGGAAAAAGCCAGAAGAAAGAGAATACCGAAAAGACAGCCAGAAAAGTGGGAAAAGAATATAAGGCGGCGTCTTAAAGCTGAGAGAAAATAGTACCAATCAATAAAAGGTAATCTTGTCCCTGCCAAGCATATATGAGAATCTTGCAAATGTCGACGAAAACGTAATGAGAAGTTCAGTGAGCAAGACATATTATGTATCTTTGAGAGTTTCTATGGGCTCTCTGCTAAAGCGCAAAACCAATATATTGCAAATAATATAACGCATGGTCATTCTTTCTCAATTTTGAACTATATTTGAAGTGACTTTAATTATGTTTTGTTAATAAAATATGTAAAGAGACCAAAATCACAAAAAAACACCTTCAGGGGTTCCCAAGGACACAGTGGCGGAATATTGACGATTCGGAACAATCTTACAAATTCGCAGTAATACGAAATATGCTGATTTTGAGGATATTCAAAACATATTTCTTACTCCATACGAACTTTTTCTTTACCTCCGCATCCACATTCGGGGATGTGAGCTTTCAAAAATCCGCATCCGCACTAGCGGATGTCAAAGAATCTACATCCGGAACATCCCTCATAGGAATTGCTCTATTTAATCATAAAAATGCGTAGGTTGGGAAAAAAAATTTAAATCGATGGCTTTTTAACACAGTGTTACTACTATGCCAATAACACAAAAGCTTTGCAGATTTTGAAATTGGATAAAGTGATGGCGGAGCTATTAGTAAAAACACAAAAATATAAAAACCGCTCAAACTTCGTTTTTGATGTTTCAGAGGCTCTGGATCGAAATATTTTTGTAGAGGTTACAGATAGGGAGTTGGTGGTTATAAGGGGTATGTGATAGTGTTTATAATTTTTTGGCAGAAATATATTTATATACTTCGAACCCCAATTAATTTTATGCACCTATCTGTACATACTTCACAAATCATAGATTTCCCAGTACATTTGCCGTTAAAACTATTGTATCGTAGACCCGCCCCGAGGGTCGCGGTCGTCCGTGACGCAACCTTCATAGGCTGAGCACTGTCTGCGTGTGAACGTCTGATTGACTGACTGCATCGCCGGTTCTCCCGAGTTACTATACTATAGTAAAATACCAAAATTGATGACAGTAGCGAAACTCATCGTACGCCACTGCTATTACGCGGAGGCCTTCTAAAATGCGGCGGTTTTTTGTGAAATGTCGGTAAACGTCGCTGTAATCAAAAGGTACAGCGTCAAAGCAGTGGCGCACGATGACTTCTGCTACTGTCATCAATTCTGGTATTCGATTATAGTGTAGTTCAGCACGGTTGCCAGATGGTCGATACTTAAAGCAGGGCAGAAACTAGCGTTAGCGTTACCAAATGGGTGCGGACTATGGACATATTGATTGGGTCTGTTTGGATGACTTAATCCATTCATTTTTCTCTGTTATACATGTTTGTAGCTAGTTATGAGGGACTGACATGCCGAACATAGTCTTTGATCTTATGAGGCCATTTTTTGAGCACTAAATGATTAGATTACCAACTACCGAGCACGACAGCTATTATGCTTATAACATTTCTCG